GATTTCTCTGTCTTGTGAGTTTGCAGTCTTGCAGTTTTGCTCCTCCACCTGTAACATCACTGCCCCTCCACCTGCCATACAGTAGGTTACTAACAAGATTACTTATATAATACAGTGATATAATACATGTTTAGTATGCTTACTTATATAAAACAGTAGTATTAAACTTACCTTGTGTGTTCACTCTCACTTAAGTTCCTCTCCCTTTGCCATCAATCCAAAATCAGCTGAGCTGCAACATTATACACACAGGTAATAATCAACATAATCACAAGGACACAATATGGCTCTGCTAAAAACACTCACTCTTACACGCACCAAAGTTATATTTATCTAATATTTAACTCCCTCCACCCCCGCATACAATCCCGTTTAGAAGCCCCTCTTCTCTAATTCAACAACGTTGGACCAAATAGACGGAACGGAATTTACAATTAAAAGGCTGTTCAACGTGTGTTGCTAACTTGCTTCGGTATCCTAGCTTGATCTGTTATCTGTAAACGTTAATCCACTGACATCCTTTAATACACATGTTCAATTGAATCAGATGTACTGATAATATCCGCAATATAAATCTTTAAACTTCTTCTTACCTTTAAAAGTCCGTCACGAACGGTCTATTATGCTGCAACTCCACAGCTCTGCTAGCCTTGGCGCTAACTTCCGGGGAACGATTGAGAGGCTCCACGATCCGCCATTGCTGTAAAAAAGTGGTCCATTGGAGTGAACGGAGATGTCATAACTCTTCTATTATATGGCTCTGCTCCAGCCCTTCAAATATTGCAGTACCCATAAGGAGCCGTACACATGCCGCAGTGTTTGCGTGGCTGTGTCTTTAGTTGTAAGCACAGTGGCGATCTGTTGTTATTAGCATCTGGTTAGCTAGCTATGCTAACGAATTTAAAGAGCTTTTCTACAACCAGGTGGAAGAGAGCTCTCTCCTGAGAGGCTCACATAACCTCAGCTCAGTGAGAAGGTTAAGGCACACCTTGATATGATCATTATAGTTATTAATGAGACATTCGAGACTAAATCAAAAACAGGTATACAATACTATATGACAGTCACAAAAAAGTTGTTAAAAATAACAAGAATAGAGTTTAAAAGGGGAGTGATTTGTAAAATATCCAAAAATAAAAATCTGCTTACAGTTCTGTTTCATATGGGTGTTGAAAGATGGATCCATAGATCTCTTCATGTTGCTCTCAAAGTGCACCAGATTGATACATTTAACTTCAATATTTAAGAGGTTGCTTTTTCTTTGCACAGCATGAAAGAAAGGTCAAATGAATGGGCTGTGATTTTAGTTTTTTTAAGCAGAGGTTGAGTTCAATAATTTGTACGGCCCTCGGAGGATGTTGTAAAAATTGAAAGGAAAACATCTCTGTCTCCTATTGATCAGAGTATATTATAAAGAATAGCCAGTTAATTGAAGCATTATAGCACAGGCCTTTGTCAGATGGTATATTACGCTGTTTTTTTTCTGCTTCGAATAGTTCTCTCTTTTTTTCCCCATACCTGTGTTTGCATCACTGTAACCAATGAGTAGAGATGGGGTCGTTACTAAAAAAATGTAATATATTACATATTACATATTACTTTTTAAAAAAGTAATATATTACACTACTTCGTTACTCGCTACATAAAGTAACTTGTTACTTTACTCGTTACTTTACTCGCCGAGCATGTACGAACTGCGCATGCGTGAGTGGCAATAACTCTCCTTGCCAGCAGGCGGCGGTAGTGTGTATTTGTCATTCAAAACAGGCAACAACCGGAAGACAGAGAAGAAGAACAGACTGCGTGATATAAACAAACAACAAATAGCGTGTGCGGTAGCTTCACCTTAGCATGTGTTCTTTGCAGGTGTTTGTTGAGGTTTGACGTGGTGTTTACAGCAGTGGATAACAGCTTCTGGCCTGGACACAGTTTGCACCTCACCCTCACATTCCTGTCTATTCTTCGGACGAACTCAAAATAATGGGCATACCTCCGGGCTCCACCCCTCGAAAGTTATCGCTGACTCAGCCATGTTTATGCAGCACTGCACGTGGAGATGTGGACGCGCAAACCGCGCAGATTACGTACATATAAACCTGCGGCGGAAACCCCTCTAGTCTGTCAGTTTGATTATGACTGATTTTAGTAAGTAACGAAGTAACGCGTGTTGGGGCAATGTTAGTAACTGTAGTGTGATTACTGAATTATAAAAGTAGCGCGTTACACTACTCCGTTACCGACACAAGTAATATTATTACAGTAACGCGTTACTGTAATAATAGTTATCTATTTTTTCACCTACCTGTGTTTGCATCACTGAAACCAATGAGCACATGCATGTGTATGAGAATAGCCCTGACACCATTTCGGCCCGATCTAAACTCCTGGCAGGACAAGCTCCAGCTCAATTCTCGCACTGAATTTAAACAAAGTGAGTGAGGGACTGCAATATTCTTTCACACACACATACGGGTTTTGGGCCGAGGGCGACACCGTACTTCCGGTATCAACCATTTCACACGAGGTGCATACAGAATATCATAGTCAATTGCCTTAATCAATATAGTCAACTCTAAAATACATCATATATGCATTGGCATGATAATATTATTGTGACAAGTGGGGTATTCACCTGGTGTTTCCAGAAGATAGACGTAGATGCCAAAATCGACCGAAGGCCACTTTTGAGGGTCGTAATTCCATACATTGTACATCCAACAACCCACACAGCTCTAGTTTACGCTGGTAACGACCTAGAGCACACCCCTCAAGTCCAGAGATGTAATCCGAAGACATGCAGCGATTTCTTCGGTCGTTAATTCAGAAAAAAAACCTAGTGCGCTCTGCCTGGCTACATTAGCTATCTGTTTATATTAGCATCGCCAGGATTTTTGCACCTCCAGAAAAATGGCGTCTTTATAAAAAAATATATGGCGCGCGTTGCATTGTGGGTAGCTGTGACGTCACTATGTGTGAAAGAATAAGAGGGAAAGAAAGAGAAACTTTAAAACTGTTCAATTGTTATGATGTGTAAAGACTGATATTGTTCTATAATCGGATGAAACTGTTAAGTCATGATGTGAAACGGTTAACAAAGAAAAAGGGAAACTCAAGCTGATGCTACACTTTATTTTATTTATCTAAAATGAAGCACTTTTAAGATGCACACATTTTCAAAAGCTATTTTATTTATTTTCTCTATTTTATTTTTAAATGCAGCCCGAGAGGAACATTACACATAGCCACAGTATTTACTGTATATCTGTAGAGTTCAATGTTAATTGACGATAAATATTGTTGTTTATGAATAGTACTTTCTTTATTTGATTGGCAGTCAGTTGTTGATTACATGCAGACGTTGATAAAGCTACAGCTACTTCAATATCACACTAATTCATAAGGCAACTTAGACATTTCGATGTTCCGGACCTTTGCATGGGGACATTTTCTCTAATTGGACCTCGTTGAATTTTAGTTGAATACCCCTGGTCTATGGTTTAAACCAAACTGAGTTCCATTGTTCAAACAGCTAAAACGTACACCTTTTATACTTATGTTATCATGTTAAGTACTTTATCATGCTTTTTGGAACACAGACACCACCAGCTGGCACAATAACACTTTATTTCATCTTAAATTAAGAATTCACGTGAAGATAGTTTGGCATGACAGTAGCCTAGAGACAACTGATTGTAAATAATTATCCTATTCATGTTGATGAAAATGGTTGGCTTAAATGTTTTGCATGTGCGGATTTTAACTATGACTAATTTAGAAAGCATTGTCCTCCATTTTGATAACGATACACCCGGGCCCTTTCTAATTTCTCGAACTCCCCTCCTCGACTCCCCTCCTCGACTCCTATCCTCGATACTTAGTCCCGCCCACAGGAGATGCGAGCCGAGGAGGGGAACCGAGGAGAGAGGAGGGGAAGCAGCAGGCGGTTAGAGAAATGAGAACTCCTCTCCTCTGAGCGGTCATTTTAAAGAGACGTCCATTAATGATGACAGGAGGCACAGCAGCCCTCTGTCTGATGGACAGATGTGTTCATGACGACTTATATATTTACTTTGTATTCATTCACAGTGCGGTATAATGAGACAATAACAGGCTACAGATGCGGACACACACACACACACACACACACACACACACATATATATACATATATATGTATATATTTTTATATAAATATATACAATTTCAGAATCAAACAGAGCACTCTCATAATAACGTAACACTATCAGAGACTGGATATATCCCCCTCTCTCCCCTCTGGTCGCTACAATGAGGAAAATTACTAAAGCAAATAAAGAGAGTAGGCCTGTTATACTGAGTGATATATATTATACACATAGCTCTGCTTTCTGCACGGACCTCACAGCTGTTCTCACTGTAAACATCGCGTCGCGATGGGAGCAGTTAATAAAATAATATCCAGGGGATGCATGCAGAGCTGTCATTGGCTGAGATAAGTCCGGCCGTGCGTCACGACTCTTTGAAACATCTCTGTTCCCGGAAATGCATCCACGAAGGAGCCGTGGAGGACCCATCAGTGTATCCTCGGTTAGAGCTCCTGCAGAGAGCCTCCTCGACGCTCGATCCTCGGTCCTCGAAGTGCATTTAGAGAAATGAGATGTCCTTCAACATGGCGCGCTGAAATTAATTGTTCCGGGTCACTACCGGAGGACCGAGGAGTCGAGGAGGGGGATTTGATGAAATGAGAAAGGGCCCTGTTTTCCCCCTCTGTGGACATCAACATGTCAAATATTCTTCATCACCTTTTCCCCATACTACATCAAATCTTGACCAGGAGGGTAAGAAAGTAATGTATTCATTCACTGAAAGAATAATGTTTTACACAGAAACTGCTCTTTTTAAAAAACTTTATTTCGAATGAATGATGGTCATCGATAATTGTATGAATGTATACACTACAGTGAATAACAACAAACTAGGCTACATTGAAACATATTTGAATAAAGTAAGACCTTCCATCGTTTTCTTTGGCAAAACCGCTTTATTATCCAAAATACAAAGCATGGCCATTTTACATCACAGCCGTAAGTTTTAGCATACATGGGAGAAAATGTAAAATGTTGTTTTTTGACACTTTTATATTGAGATGTTTGCAGACTAAAACAATAGATTCAAAAATGCTGAGCAGGTACACATAATAACAGAGAGTGTGTGGTCATCACTTCACGAAAACAGCTCTAAATATATGTTGGGTTTACAATTGGGACGTCCCTACAGAAGACATTTTTCAGCAAATCTTTGAGCCAGGTGATCATGCAGTCGTGTGTTGGCAATTTACAAATCAAGGTGTTTTTCATAAAAAGAAACCTACTTGCTTCAAATGGAAATATTTCCCCTTAAAGTTACTATAGGTGTGTTCATTCATTACTGATTTGCCAATTTGTTTTCAATTATTCATTTTGTCTATAGAATTTTTGATAAATCAAGTCAAAAACCATTCCATCACTGGATCCTAAATGATTTCGTCCCACCAACAGTCCGAAAACATGTATACTTTAAAATCAGATAAGGCAGATGAAAGCAGCTAAACAACTAAAACGCTAGAATAAAGGAAACCTTTGACATTGTGCCTGGAACAACAATCTTGACAATTACTAACTTATAAAAGGTATCTAATCAAACAAACAAAGCAATTAATTGACTAAGATCTGGTTTCTTTTGATTACAGAACGGCTTATCACGTTTATTTTTGGATTGCTGAATGAAAGCTTCCAGGAAAAATACAACTTAAAAAACATCACTTTGCACAAAGGTGATAAAATACAAAATTGATCAAAATTGCAATGCAATTGTAGCTATTAAATTATGTCAGTAAAAAAAAATCTAAATTCATCTTAAGTTGTTATGTTTAGTATCAAGGCCTGTAGAATTAGAATCCAAATCCAAATTAATGGTAACTTTGCATATTGCTATTGAGGTGACAGGATTTTCTATGACATTTCAATATCCTTGTCGCCCTGTAGAGGTGAGCCAGACTGGGGTTCTTTACTTTTCCCTTCCACCTTGTTCTTGGGGTTCTTTTTCCTAAAGAAAAAAAAATAGATATAAAAAATTACAGGAGAGTAGTCATTGACAGCAAGGTATGTGTTTTTCATTTTTAGTGTTAACTCCTTATGTAAAACTGAAAACAAAGAAAAACAGTCTTACTTTGACTGAATGGTCAAGACAGTCACAGTTATGATGATAGCGGCAACAATGAGGGCAAGCAGAACTCCACAGATGATTGCTGTTAAAGAGGACAGATGACCGGGATGCATGTTAATAGATTACAAACTAATATTCAGATAAAAGTATATGAAACATGTTTTATGCACTTAACTAAAACAGGGATGTATTTTGCATTAGTTCTTTGTGTTTCTACTGACCAATGGGAGTGTCCGGCTCCTCCTCCTCGGCTTCCTCACGATCATCTTAAGTCCAAAAACAATTGACATCATGTTGAAAACATCATTGTATTACATTTAAGAGTATACTTGCCTCATTAAACACATTTGATATTTTATTATTTCAGTAAATGTGTACATTAGACAGAGATTAGTGCTCACCGTGGATGCCATCACAGGTGGCGTTGCAGCTGGTCTGGTCAAAAAATCTGTTTCCGTTTCCGATGCATCCAGACCAAAGGAACTTTTTGCATTTGTCATGGACAGAATCGTAGTAATACCTCAAAAACTTGCCACTGCAGCCACCTACAGCATGTTTAAAGTGGCAAGCTTGGACCACTGTGAAGATAAAACATCATCCTTATTAGTCATAACAGTGGTCAGAGTTTATTAATGAAACTCATTTAAAAGTTAGGATTTGTTATGTATATAACAATTCTCATTTATTGATACAGCAGGTGGCAGAAAATATCATTAAAACTTCAAGCAGTAGTTTTGCCTTTTAACCACTGGGTGGCATATTGCTAACATTCATCCTGACACATGTTTTTTTCCTGCATCCTCGAAGAAAGGAAAGCGGCAAAAGTTATTTGGCAGAAAAGCAATGGAATCGTTATTATTTATAGGATACAACAAGCCCCTCTTCATATCATCTCTTTTTCTCGCCCTCTTTCCCTCATCGAAGAGGCCTTATGATGATGTAGCATTCCCTTTAATGGTCCTTTAGGCCATAAAAATACCTCATGGGCCAGTTCATGTTCCAAAGTCCTCAGACAACAGGAAGAATGTTTTTTTTCTCCACACTGTGTTCATCTAAATGTAAGCGGTCTTTGATTTTACATTCGTCATTTTGCATGTTTAACAAACATTGAATGGTAATTCAGAATAAACTGGAACCTTACTATTCTTTCACTATGAGTGTTTAAAACCATCTTACCATTCATGGGGTACTTTGCCTCTGTATTGGTGGAACAGTTTCTTATGCACTCTCGTTCATTTTCAAATCGGTTGCCATTTCCTCCTTGGCCTTTGTATATGAAAGGGTTGCACTGATCTTGGACGGGGTCATAAAACAGAGAGAAGGTAAAGCTTGTGCCTTCACCTTCATCCTGATCCAATTGGCAGAAAGCTGTTGGATAAAAAAAGAAATATGGTGTTAGCTATGTTTTATGCAAAAGGCGATTATCTTGTTTACAGTATTTGGTAAGTTATAGGTGTTTCTGTTGAAATCTCCAGCACATAACTAATGTTTAACTAACCCCATCAACAGATACCCACTCCCTCCTTTTATGATGGCAATTACATGTGTCATTTATGGTGCATTTTCAGTCCCGCTGCCCTTTTATAGATATCACCTCAAGGAAGTGGTTTCAAACGGTTTCAGGTTTAGCTCATTGTGCTCAGGCTCAGACAGAAATTATCTGTGTTTAAAAGTTTGAGAATTATAGAGAAGGGAATTGTCCAGTCAGCTTAGCACAATTGTTAGCAGTGTGTTAATAACATTTCTTAGAAAGTAAACGTACAGTAAATACCATCTAGTCTTTTTTTTGACAGCTAAAGACAATCATTGTGGGCTTCAGTCGCAAGTTGAAGCATGGAAGTCAGGGTAAAAAACAAGTACAATACAATTATATCCTGCTGAGAGTCTAGACCTATGTAATCTACTCAAACTTGTATCCCATCAGGTCTATTGATTTCTGATGGCACAGGAATCTTTGTTATACTATACATGATTAAGCCCATTTATTGAGTCTTCCGCAGATGTAACCGCCACTTTTTTTTCAGGACCAAAAGTGAAACTTCATCTCCTTGAAACATTAGATAAAATAATAACAATGATATAGAACCAATTTTAAAACAAAGTATTCCTAAATAAAAGCAGCAATACAAGGCTAGCACTTGATGAGTCTGTGTGCTAGCATGGCCTATTCTGAAACATAAACCTCTATAAACTAATTAAACCAATCTCTAGTTACAATTTTAAATGAAGAAGACAAAAGTTTGATGTACCTGGAATCGAATTGCTGATTTCGAATGCAGCAAAAACCAAACCCAGAAACAACAAGAGCCTCATCTTGCTGCTTGTCTTCGAGCTGTCTCTCCTGGAGTGAGGCAGGGTTGTAAACTACAGTGGGAGTGGGTTGTCATACTGACCTTTGGACCAACATTTCCCTAATGGTGACAGCTGCAATCGAAACAAAAGTTAATGGCAGGGATATGCTTCTCCTTTTTTCTTTTATTACCTTTACTATAAAGAGATTAGAGATGTTTTTTTATATCAGAGTGTAGCATATGATCAATAGAACAATAGCATTTTGATGGGTGTTGTTTGAAAGACCTCACACATCATTTAGGGAAGGTTAACGCTCGAGTTAAACACGATACCTGCTCCAGCACAGCAACACACACAAATAAGCATTTCATATTTATTTATTATTTAATATGAGTTAAATTGCAGTTTTGTTCTATTTGTTATGCAGTATATTAAGACAGTTGGCAACACAACTAAAGACACGTAGATTACTACAAAGAGCATCATGTCGTAAAGTAACCCCAGGAAAAAGAGAGTTTAACCTCTTATTTTAGTATATTATAGTCATGTAAGCAATCATTTCAATGTAAGGCTTGCACCTTTAATACATGATAATCCTTATCATGAGCCAAGGTTACATTATTGTGTCTTGTACTAATACTTTTATAGATTTCCTTCTGATGTGTTAAAAGATACTCTGCATGAAGAATACTGTTTGCCTGACATGGTGTTTTCTGGTTAAACATTGCAAGTTGTTCTTCTCCCTTAATTGAAAAATCCCCAATCTAGGATTTTTTCCCTGCAAAACACACTTTTGTAAGGTGCATTTTAGACCTTAATTACCTTCAAAACTAACATGCTTATATCTTCAATTTGGATTAAAGGTGAGAAACTCCTCTTATCTGATAGTCATTTTGCACATGCATCATTCCTAATATCCAGTTAGTGAAGAAACAAGCAGCAACACATTTTTGAGTGAAAGGAGGCTTTCAGAGAAATACATGAGACTAAGATTAGTTGTGATATGGTAGAACTTTTGTGGTTTAAAGGAGTCATTTTTAAAGTTATTTCAGCGCTGTAATTTGAATTGTTGCCGGTGCAGTGGGGTAATTTTACAACTCAGACTTTTTACTTGCAGAAATCTGGGGCAAAGTGAAAAACCATTAAACAAGTTAATACCTTTTACAAAAGTCCTATTGTATTGTGATAGTTTTGATCCAAAATGTTGATTGAAATTATTATTTTATTAGTGTTGCAGATTTGCAGAGGTGGAAAATATACTTGAAGTACCGAAAGTAAAAGTAATCATTATGCAGAATGGTACGGAGCCCCCCTGGTGACATTGGTGAGAAACATATTAATGCGTGGCCACGAATTAATAATGCGTGGCCACGAATTAGTTATTATGTTCCCACGCATTAGTAATTCGTGGGAACACAATAATTATTACGCAATAACTAAATCCAGATAGTCTATAGAAACTGATGACTGAGTGACAACAAGTCGAGTAAAGTTGGAACGATATTGGCAGATTCAGAACAAAACGTTGTTCAGACACAAATGACGTCTCCTAAGTACCGTGGTAAGGTTGACAACGAACTACAATCACATTTTGATCAAAAAAAGCCAATACGCGCTGTCCTCCAAACTGGAGACATGACATTGGTCTCTATCTGCAGCCGGAGAAGAAACGTGTGCTCAGGGACCGTCTGCAAAGTGCAACTCCGAAAAAAGAGAATACAATAATATTCAATCACTTCACTATTAGTATATTTATACTAAACTCATTACACACATCAATAGTCTCGTGTTGCTCATACTACAGCAGAGAGTTTGGAAGAATGTGCTTTTGAATAATTTTGGTGAATATTTATAGTGTAAAATCTTCAATAATGGCATCATCTTCAATAACGTTACTATTATACAGTATTTGTTCATGAGTTATTGATCCGTGAAATCCGAATCTGCCAATATCGTTCTAACTTTACTCAACTATGTTTCAAACCGTGCATTTTCAGCAGCCGAATCAAGTGCCTTTAGCTAATGATGACACTGTGCTTAACTGCAAGGGATTGCAGAATATCATTATAATTCATACCCAAATGAAAATCAAATCAAAATGATCCATGCTTCGCGATAATAGCCGTAGCCTACGGTACAGAGTTTAGCTAGTGTTGTCACCTTTATATATACAGTCTATGGTTGTCACTCAGTCATCAGTTTCTATAGACTATCTGGATTTAGTTATTGCATAATAATTATTGTGTTCCCACGAATTACTAATACGTGGGAACATAATAACTAATTCGTGGCCACGCATTTAACTCGTGGCCACGTATTAATATTTTTCTCACCAATGTCACCAGGGGGGCTCCGTATGGCACATTTCAGAATAATATACTATGTTTTGATTATAATTATTGATGCATTAAAGTGTTATCAAAGCTAGTAAAGGTTCAGCTAGTTTGAATGACTTTGTATACTGCAGGGCAGCTTGTGAATGTTACTCCAGGTGCAACTAAAGTCTTATTTAAGTGTTGATTATATTTCACAACATTAATCCAAATCTGTAAAGTAAGTAAAGGTAGGCTATTACATAAATATAGTGGATTAAAAGCACAAAGTAGTAGTAGTAAAGTACAAGTACGTCAAAAGTGTACTTAAGTATAGTAGCTACTTGAGTAAATCTACTTAGTTACTTTACACCACCACTGCAGATTTGTATAGAGACCAAGTTGTTTACAGTTTGTGCAGGTTTGTCTTGTAGAGCCCTCACTCTTCAATTTATTTGACCCCCAGGCAGCGTCACAAAATCCGAATGGTCGCGCGTGGTATAGCCTAACAAGTGGCACGTGCACGCCGCTCAGCATTTCCCACATCTGCGCCTAACATGAGTGACTTCTCTTGGCTGCGGTGCAGTCCTCGCGCTGTCACCGTTGGTGGATCTGGAGGCTGGTTTTGTTGTTGCTCTGACGTCAGCGAGAGCTACAATGGAGCTGACAACGTGATTAGTATAAAAGCCGGTTTGAAAGCTCGCGCTCCGGTGCTCCCAGCTGCTGCTCGGCACCAGGTTAACATCAGACTGCAGCACGAGGGTGGGCTGAAGGGATCAAGATGCATTCTGCGAGCTTCACACCCATACTTTTACTACAGCTGACTTTCCTCGCCGTGTTGCACGGTAAGATCTTTGAGGGGTGCAAAAAGTATGCAAATACTTTAAAAGCACTTTGAAGGTTAAACTTATTTAGGCAATTTGGCAGAGCAGGAAAGATGCTTTATCGCAGGTGTCACTATCTACCTGCACCTGCACTTTGAATAAGGGTGACACAACTTTGAATTTATTTTCTAAATGTATGGTTTACTAATTGTTGTTTTTTATAGTGACTCATGCTGCATAATTTAACTTGTGTGAAGTTATTTTAATGTATTTGAATGCACAGTGAGACCATTTTCTTCTTTTATGTCTGTTTCAGGTGCAAAATGGACGTACAATGGTAAGTCTGATAATATTTTCCTCATAATTTGTCAATAGAAGATCATATTAGGGGCATTTACATCCAGTTCTCACCTGCTGACCATTTGCACTTGAATGTCTTGATCACTCATAATGGTATTCTAGCCTTAAACAAGCATTTACTAACTAGAATTGTAATACAATTTGAGACAAATCTCAAGGAAATGTCTCGGAGAAGATGTTACTGTTGTAAAGCAATCAGAGCAGTGCTTTGACTCAACAATGCCACATAATACGAAAGTGTAAACAGTATTCAATGCATTCTGATAAAAAAAGGGGAAAAGCGCTCTGTGAGCTTTGTTTGACCAGCAAAGACAACCAGTTCTGACATCTCTCTCCATGTCAGCCCATGAAACTCTAGAGTTCATTTCAGACTCTGTAATTACAACATTTCATAAGTGGTTGACTGCTTTTGTATCACGCCTTAAGGTCTATGGGCAAACTCTTACATAAACTGTGGTCAGAGCTTGACCTCTTGTCATTGTGTTACTGCTTCCCGAAAGTCTGTTTAATTTGGGGGCTTAACGTTAAATCCAATAAGTAGGTATGGTTAGCAGCTACGTTTGGTTTTTTCCACAACTAATTCTTTGGTCAAATATAAAACAAACTGTTGACTACATGAATCATTTTCAAACCTCATGTCTTTGTTTAAAACATTTGTATTGTGTACAAATCCTTTCAGATGCAAATCAGGGCTTGTTAAGAAAAGAGCTGCTTCCCTGCATATTAATTTGTGGTCAAACAATTGTAGTTAGAGGAAATGTGACGTGTTTAATTCCGACCTCTAAGAAAGGCTGATTACAGCACTGGCTTGGCATTATTGGGATAAAATGGCCCTTTGTGGATTCTATTCACACTGTTTGTCTCTTACCTGAAGACATTTTGGAAAATTAAAAAAATAATGGAAAAATGAAATTAGGAACATTTCTAATTTGTGTGTCAATAAAAAGGATATCTTAACAATGCAGGATAAAAGACACCTGTGTTATTTTAAAAATAACAATTTAACTATGAGTCAACTTTGGGGAAAGGCCTGTGATGTCTACTAAGGAAAGATGTAAGATACAAATAATGATCTCTGGCACTTTCTGAGGTTCAGCGTTGTGGATTTCATCCTCAGTTACAGTCAAACCACTAACAGGCCTTGTCATAGTAGTCAGTATGGTCTCGAGGGCTGGTTGCACTTTCTGTTGATGAGGGCACAGCTGAGTCATAGGATTTATCCCCCCCCTCAACACTACGCCCGCAAGCAACACAGTGCAAATTAACTTTAGAGTTAAATAAATGATGCTAGTGATGAGTGTAGTTTGCTCTGCCTCCTCCAGTCTTTTAACATTCTTTTCACAAAGGAAAGGATCCATGTTTATTTTGTTAACACCCACAATCACTCTAACCAGAACTGCCAAGGGGCCCCCAAAGCATCCTGAAGGCCATTATTAAAGGGCAGATTGGGTCTAATTAAAACCGCAAATGAAGTGGACACTGTCTAATTGTAGCCATAAGACTGACCTTCTTCCTTAGTTTAGAGAGGCTTCGTCTGGATAGAACTTTGCTTCAAACAAGTGTTCAGT